CGTATATACCTCAAACACTCAGATTTTTTTTTAGTGTTGACGTTAATTTCACGGGAATTTACGTATGTTGACGCAAATTTACCTACATTGACGCAGATTGTTATGGTTTGACGTAAAATGACGCGATACTACCTTCAAAAAAAGTTTCCCTATGCTGAAAATGGAAGAGCCAAGGCTACGTCACTGTTTTGCAAAGCCTGGCTGCTTTGCAAAGCGTGGCTGACTTACGTCTCGCTGCCGGTCTGCAGCAGGATCTCTATCCCTGTCTGTGGTCTATACAAATGAGCTGACCTGGAAGGCATGGCCATAATAATAGTAAGAATGAAACACAGAATCAATTATAGCCTCACGTTTGTCATACTTTGGAGTCACCATACTCATATTCTAAGATACATAACGTTTTACAAATCATTTATTCCCTTTGTCACGCTGTAGTTTCTCCACAATTATGCAATTATTGTTTTGTTCTCATCAAATGATTTCCTATTAAACCATTGTATTTATAAAATTATAATCTCCTATCGGAAATAAGTTATGCACATTAGGATTTCAGAATGTCGGACAAATACAAATTAGCTTCAGCAGTGGATTAAAATTGTGTCTGAATTTTGATGGAACGATATTTGTGAGTGTATTTGTTAGTTCCGGTAAATAACTGCAACTCAACAGCATTTCCAATGTTTTTTAATATAATTCCAACAAGTTTGTTTAATGCATTCAGCATAGTTCAACAAAGATAACAGTACAGTGTATTTTACAAGGTATTTACACATATTTAACTATATTATTATCTGTAGGTATAGTGTATTCAAATTGATCAACTGACGTATGTTGTAAAATTTTAAATAAATTAAAGAAAAAAAAAATCATGACTGTGTGCTGTGAATAGGAAATGTTGGGAAATAAGCCCTACTGCATGCTGTATACATTTTATTTTAACATTGACAATGACTTACATTAGCTTGACATATAGGCCTATCTAAGTTATATAAATCTTTATTATACAATGTAGGTATAAATTAAGTTTTCTCAACAATACAGATTACTAGTATGTGCTGATAAGCCAAAACACTAACTTCTGTTTTCTTCTAGTTATGATTGCTACATGTATGACATTGAAAAATGGCGTCCTACACGCATTCTCCGAGTAATCGTGCAAACCAGAAATCAAGAAGCCTTTCAAATATACGGATGGACTACAACAATGGTTCGTCTAGGTCTTCCTCTCTCAATGACGTCCGAGAAAAAGGTACGACACTAGTGAATGGACCATTTTATTGTAAAATAGCTAAGAGTGTTGGTACTTGACATTTTAGGTTATAATTTCCCGTGTAGCTAATTGTAAACATGGTGATAACTGTCACACATTTCCTGGTTGAGCGCAGAGCTCTGCTCTATTTGCCCGAGGTCCCCGGGTCTGCCATGCATTGCATGTCTATTAGTTACATGCAAATGCGCTGACCTGAAGATTGTAGTGCCTCAAAGGCTGGGTGTCATGAACCCTCTGAGGGTCATCACTACAATTTATAATTATTTACCACTAAATTTGCAGGTTTAAACATTGTAGTAACCATCACAACACAATTCAACAACATGTAATACCTTTTACATTCCTGTTCTCAATTAATACTGTAAATAAACTTTCCTTTTCAGGCTATTATTGAAAACTAGCTCCCTTTATTTTAAAAGTTGTTTGTTTTCTACTTTTATTACACAATTTTGTTACATTCAACCATCCAACTTTTTGAGTTGATTTCATGGGGTAATTAACAGAAGGATGTTTTCATTGCATGTTAGTCGTTTTAAATGGGGATCAACAATTGTTCATGTGTGAATTTCAATGAATATCTGTTATTTTTATTACCAAATAATTATAATTTGAATTAAAAATTTGTAAGTAGGATCCAGCAATATTGAAAAATCAAGTCTTCATCTCAAAATTTGTTTAGTGTTTTAACACCAAAAACAGTTTATTGTATTGTGTAAAATCCTTATATTTATTTAACATTTGGTTTGTAGGCCTATAGAATGATTGGTCCCCATTAACTAATTATCTGCCGTATTTGTTTATTTATTGAACGACATCAACAACAGAAAGTCAATACAGGAAAAGAATACAGGTTATTAACAGAAAACATCTTAAACCAAGTGGGAAAATCAAATTAAAAATATCAATGAGGATGGGTCCAAACATAATTTTTATAGAATAACTTAATACTAATAAATCTATTTTTAAAACATTAACTCTAAAAATTATACAGTGCATCTCTTACATGGAAGGCTTATGCGTAGTTTAAAATTTTATTTTGACATTTGCATTTCTAGTAAATGAGTCAAAATACCACTATTCAGATCAAGCATTCAAGCTTTTGCTGCCTTGTTTACATTCTAAAGTTCAAACTTTAGGAAGTGTCCAAATAGATATAAGCAAGATCACTGGTATATACTGTTTACCCAAAGGGCTTGGTGCTATTGTTGAAACACACATGTTTGGGAATGCACTTTGTCAATCAAAAATGTATGGTTTCATTTTGATTAGTATTAGAATTCTTTGTAACTATTGCTGTACCTATGAAAAATCTCAAATATTCAATTAATATATTGAGTAGCTCATTTGAAAATGTCAACTAAGCTGACTTACAATGATTCACAGTTGAAACAAATAAGTGTGTTGCTGATTAACAGCTACAGAAATTCTTATGACTCCAGCCTGTTATTTGCCACTTAAAACACTGTTTACAAAGTCGTTGAATTAATAAATTAGCAAATAACCTTCCATTTTTATTCCTGTTAATTTTGCATTTTTCAAATTATTCAGGTGTCTGAATCTTGAAGAGTGTCATATCAAGGATGTACCCTAGTTGCTCTACCCATTATTAATGTATGGTCAAAAATTTTAAATGTGTGCAAACCTAAAAGGGATCGTATTATTAATATTAATTATTATTGATTTTGTAACAATATGAGATAATATTTATTAATAATGTTATTAAGATAATTCTGGATATAACTTCTCATGTTTTAACAAGACCAAAGCTTGAAGCATTTTACATGATTAATAATATAAATATCTCAAAGGAAGGTGAACCATTAGTTAGACCTAATCCACCACTGGATATCAGTATTCAATGGTGGCGCTAGAGTTTGCCTGAAGGGAGGGTGGAAGGTGGTGATGGGGATCAAGGAGATCTTTAAAATAAACAAGAGAAAAGAGACTATGTGAAGCCAATAACCTATAAGATTGTCCCTGAAATTTGCATATTTTAACTATTAAAATTCTAAAAAATTTTCAGTTTGTATCTTGGTATCTTTTATTCAAAATATTGATAAAAAATAAAAAACGGGTTGGCAAAATAGAGATGTAATTTTATCTGTGTGTATATTTTTGTGTATTCTTCGCTCTGGAAAGCAAATTTCTTGTACTTTGCTTGTATACGGCAATTTAAAATGGAATCTTGAATCTTGAATCTTCCTTAGCAGCAAAAGCTGAATTGTGGATACTCTTTACAAGCAGCCAATAAAAATATCAGTCAAATAATTAAGATTAAGCATGATTCTCCATGAGTGTGTTCAAAGGTATAATATAAGGCCTCCAAATAATTGTTTTATGCTGTATAGTAGGCTTATGTTGTACTGGTAGTCATTTTTAATAAACAGATACCATTTGTAATGCATGGTGGTGTTTAATTTTTACAGTTCCAATTATCCATGCTACACAAATTGTAGACTTACTAAGAAGAGAAACCGTCTATATATCTGGTAAGTTGTCAGTTTTTATTATTGCTTGACTATTATTTCAATAACTCTATGTAAACTACCACATATAAAAAAGTGAACTGAAATTTGAACAATATTCCCTGCCAGTTAATTAACATTTGAAATTTAATAATATTTCCATAATATTTTCATATAAACCTTTTAAATTTAAGCCATCACATTTAAGGATTTCCGTAGTAAACACTTTTCACATTTTAGGTACTCTCTGGTAAGAAATCTGAAAAAAAAAAAAAATATTGCGATCTACAATGTTTAAAAACAATACATTCTATTCTTTGCTGATACAAAGACTTTGCTATGAAAAAAGTGCCTTCATTGGCCATGACTTGTTGGACCCAAAAAATAGGAACAGTACTTTTTATATTCTTTAGGCATAACAGTTTAGAAATGAAACAAATTGTTCATATTCTCTAGGGGTCAGGGGGAGTAGCTTCACCCTTGACTTCCATAATGGCTTTGCCACTGGAATCAGCTGACTTATGAAAGTTGTCAGACCCTCAAACATAGTACTGTATCCTGAATGTATATTTGGAGCTATCAGAGTCATAAATACTGTAGTTGTGGCTAGAATGTAGGCCTAAGCCAAAAGAGAAATGCTGTTTGATAGGGGAAGACGGTGGCAGTGACCGCCTTAATTTATTTCTGTAACATTACAAAAGAAGTAAGTAGTATAAATAGAAAGGTTGTCAGACTGGTAAACAAGAAATCAGAGGGGACAGCTATGGCATGAAGGTACAGTACTGTTCCATGCCATGAAACTATGCTTTAATGAGCAACATTGATTGATGAGCAACATTGATTGATGACAATGTTGATTGAGATCAAGAGTCACATGTACACAATTTTTTGAACTTTGAAACCAGTTGTTTTTTATTTTGAAGAACTACAGTTATTTCTTATTCTACAGAATATTATTATATGAATGCAATTATAAAAATTGAATGATTGATGATTTTAATTATGTTCATTCATTTATTGATTGCATGCCAGGTGGGGCTTAAAAAAAAGTGGTCTCAATCCTGAATTTCAGGGGGTCTCAGAAGGGTAAGCTCAGTGTTAAGATGTAGGTAGTTAAATTGGTGCAGGTACTTTTAAAAGTGTTCTTGAAAATAGATTCTCAAATTTTGAGAAGTCTCAATATAGATGGTGAACTGTAATTGTAATAATCTAGTGAACAATCCGGGATTGAACATCGTTTGTATCTTGATTATTTTGTCTAGTACTTTCACACAGTTGAAACTTTGATGTGCGTGTTTTTTTAATGCCAGATTTCATGCAAGAAAATATTAATTTCTAAAAGTTTCTTTGTTAATGCCTTTTTAATTATTGGTGATCCGCTTCATGAGCGGATCACCTCTTGTGATTGTACGAGATCTTTTTATTCTACATTTCTCCCCATTTCTTGTTCGCACGATATCTCAAAATTGCTACGAGGTATGCAGACGATCGCTTCATCAATCATTTTGGCATCGCCTGGAATAGACATGGTAAGGTTTTCAAGGTGACCAGTCATGCGTGACGTCAGCTACGCGCAATTTTGCGTTTTTACATTATCGATCATATCAGCTTAACCAATTGCCATTTCTAAATCATAATTAGTGAGCATTAACTTCAGGTCAATGTTGAATGTAATGTACCCTAATTTTACCCGTGCGCTTCATAACACGCGCGCATGCGTGCGTCAAAATTTCAAAATGCTCGAAATCACTTTTTGACTAAATTAGAGTACGTTTCAGGCCATTTTGAGCATTTGAAAATTTTTCATAATCTTCCACTATGTGCGCGCACTTTTACTTGCGCAGTACGTATGGAAGCTAGAAATTAGGTTTTTTTTTACATATTTTGGGTTCCTGAAATTGTTTTCACAAATTTAAATTGTTTTCGGTCATCTTATAGCCAATAGCAATGTTGTACATGCGCATCAAACATAGGGACCTTTGCGCGGATTTGTGCCGATATACAGTGAAAATATGTTAAAGTGCCCCTGCCACCTATTCTGACAATTTTTATAAACTACAGCGTGTTTATATTTATAAATATATAAACACAAGTGTTGGTCATAAATTACGAATAAAATTGATTTTGTACGAAAAAAATGAGTTTAAAGTGTCATTTTTGAAAGACCTTAGAAACAAAGAGGTCACTCCATGACGTCATTGGTGACCGACTTTGCCAAACTTCATCCAAGCGCGAAATCAAAACAAACACTGCGACGGTGTCCTAGCGGAGGAAGAAAAGCCTGAACTTCTACCCTAGGCTGTTATTATATTACATAGTTTCCCGAGTTTTACACAATATGCCAGTAAATTGTGTTGTAGGGGGTTATATTAGTGGTTGGCGCATCGGTTGTGGCTTGGACTCCCAACCTCGAGGTCGGGGGTTCGAAACTCTCGCTGTGCAAATCGCTTGTGTCCTTGGGCAAGGCACTTTATCTACGGTTGCCCCTCTCCACCCAGGAGTACAAGTGGGTATACTGGTAGGTTCCAACACAACTGCCGCAATATTATGGAATAATAATATAATTTAATTTAATAATTTAATAATTTCATTTAGTGTTTAATGTGTTCCATATGTGTTTGATCCAATGACCGGGGTAATAATGTGAAGCGCTTAGAGGCTTTGTTAAGGCATTAGGCGCTATATAAGAACGACATTATTATTATATTATTATTATAAGTGCACACAAAGTAAATATTTTACGTTACCTAAAGATAGTAAAAGAGTTAAATTTGTGAATTTTACAATTCAAATTTTCATTGGCCGGATGAGCACAAGTCAAAAGAATTCGTGTGCTCACTTCGTGGATGATCACTTCATGTGGATTCAAAACAACGTTGGGCTTGCAATGCAAACTAGGCCTAGCTCTAAGAGATCTTGCTGTGTCTACTATTAAAAATCTGAGACGATCAAGTCCAGTGAGAAAAAGAATCCATCCAGGCCTTAGGCCTAGTACGGCAAATAAAACAACAAGTAGCCTATGCTAAGTACCGGGTTTCGGGATCCTCACATTACTTGTTTACTTGTATCCCAAGAATCTTCTACAGTCTCATAAGGCTGCCCTAATCAATGATGGGGGTGAGGTGGTCTTAACTTCCCTGGCCCCTCTAGCCTATAGGCCAAGAAATTCAAATTCCCAGTTGCAGTTGTTAATTTACACGTGCCGCCATTTTTTTTTCTGTTTTGATTAGTAGTAGGGCCTAGGCTAGGTCTATCCTGGTGGGCCTATGACTGTAATTCAATAAGTAATATCACTTACAGGTACCTCTCATTGTTAACGGCTGAACATCTTTTAAACAAATCTTGCAAAAGTCCGTAGGCCTTTTATTTATGAACTATTTATTTATGATGGAAGAATAAGGATTTTTGATACCGTACGTACAGTACCTACAAAAAAAAAAAAACAGAACACACTTAATAATAACTTATAAGGTGGCCTTTCGCGAGTAAATAAAAAAGGTACAGTAAAACGTGTAAAACTCGGGAAACTATGTAATATACTAACAGCCTAGGGTAGAAGTTCAGGCTTTTCTTCCTCCACTAGGACACCGTCGCAGTGTTTGTTTTGATTTCGCGCTTGGATGAAGTTTGGCAAAGTCGGTCACCAATGACGTCATTGAGTGACCTCTTTGTTTCTAAGGTCTTTCAAAAATGACACTTTAAACTCATTTTTTTTGTACAAAATCAATTTTATTCGTAATTTATGACCAACACTTGTGTTTATAATATATTTATAAATATAAACACGCTGTAGTTTATAAAAATTGCACTTTAAAATCAGGCCTATTTTTAATAATTTATAGCTCCTTAGGATGAAAGGTGACCCCCAATTTTTTTATTACCAGGGGCAGATCCAGAAGTTTTGGTTAGGGGGGGGGGCTATAATAGGTATGTGTGTAAAGTGCCTTTAAGTGCCTGCGAAGGCTAGGTTTGGGAGGAGGTGTCTCCGTCCGATAAGATGGGGTTCAATGTGTTCCAACACAGGAGTGGGTGGATTTTGAATTCCTCCAGAAATCAAAATTTGTGAAATTCGAATATTGTTATAGTGACTGCATTAAGCTTTCAAAACAATCTGATAGTACTACGTTGAAAACAAACTGAATAAATATACTTGTACAATGGAGGTTTTATTTAGTATCTGTATATAATTGAAGAAGAAATATGTGGTAGACACCATTAAAAATAACTGATGCCTAGTTGTTGTTGTCAAGTGCAAGTGGATTTGAATAATTATTCATTCATTAAACAACATTTATTTCCGTAAATGTTAAACAATATTTATAGTAAACATTATTATAACAAGAATATATGTAAATAAATTAATAATATGAAAAACGATTAACTAGGATCTTTAATCTTTGAGTAGGATACTCACAGAAACAACATAATTTAAATATAAATATTAAAAAGACAAATTATACACCATGCTTAAAATATTGGAACCACGCTTCAAAAAAATATTAATGCAAATGCAAGGTCAATAAACAGACTTAGCGTGTCACTTGCTGTACTAAAATAGCAATTGTTTGTATCCATCCTTTAGAATTGTGTGCACCACCCTTAAAATTTTGAGGACATTTTCTGAAATTTCACCATTCTTTAAAATTCCTGGTGAAAGGGTTGCCATGGGGAACATAAGACAATGAAGAGGGTGAACACAGTTCCATAATAAAAATACTGTCCCTAAAGGTAAAATTTGACAATGTTAAGGAGAACCTCAGACGACAAAAGAATTTCCCTTAAAATATGTTTTAAATGTAGTAGTAGTATCCGACGACAAGCAATCAAGAAAAAACTAAACTGGAACAACTCTCTCGACACGAAATGTTTAGTATATCATACAAACGTTTAAATAGCTGCCTCTGACCACAAGCAATCAAGACAAGACTAGAACGACTCACTCGACACAAAAATTTTAGTTTATTATTAGTTTATTTACAAACATTCAAATACCTCTGTCCGCAAGCAATCAAGGAAAGACTAGACAAGAACAAACCCATGCGACACGAAAAGTTTAGTATATTATACAAACCTTGAGACCGCAACACAACAGCCTTTGCTTCGAGATTTGAGCATGAAGGCAAGGCAAAAGCAGCTTTCTTAGCTACGTTTTTTGTCCGCTGATCGGTTAACAAACGTATTTCATTTTTATTTTATCACTGAAAACAACTACTGTAAAATGTTTAGCCCATAAATATGATGTGTGAAGAAAACATTAAATTTTAATTTGGACCTTCAAAAAGCAGTTAAAATGAAATGGCTATAAATTTTAGGGGGGGGGGGGCTAAAGCCTGTTTAGTCCCCCCCCCCTCTAAATCCCCTCTATAGATCATAACGGCTGATCGGATATTGTGACGTCATCATATTGGCATCTGAATTCAAAGAAAGTGAATTATAGCTACACTGTATGACGTCATTTTTCAAAATACGCATTTGAGCGTATCTCGCTTATTCTTGATCGATCGTCTTCCAACTTTGAGTATGTTATAGCTGAGACAATTCTCTTTCATATATATTACTTCTTTGACATTTTGATGATGTCATCATGGTCAAAAAAATTGTTTTTTCTGACCCCCACATCTTTCTTTCCTCAAAACGTTGATGACCCCATATCATCTTAACCATTCGTCATTTCTGAATCATATCAAGTGAGCATAATCTTCAGGTCAAGGTTGAATGTCAGGTACCTTAATTTTCCATTTGTGCGACTTAATGTGCGCATACCCGTGCGTCAACAATTATGTATACTTAAAATTATGCCTACCTTTAATCAGATAGCTCCTTAGGATGAATGTAACCCCTAATTTTTATTACATATTCTGAAAGCACATGAGTTGTAGATATGATTTTATACATCATATTGGCTGATCGGACATTGTGACGTCATCATATTGCCATTTGAATTAAGAAAAAACTGACTCGCTTATCTTGATTGATTGTCTCCCACCTGTGAGTATAGCTAAATCAATTCTCTTTCAGACGTGTCCCTTTATTTTTCATTTTGATCATATCAGCATGGTCAAAAGAATGAATTTTTAGAGTATTCTTATCTCTCAATCTTAAAGATGTAAAAAATAGAACACAGAGAGAGCGGCAGACTATATTTCGACGCTATCAGACTTATATAATACAGTATAGGTTATATGAAGGGAAAATTCATGTGGCATTAATAACTAACAAACGGTTTTAAAAACACGACAATATTTAATTTCGTGTGCCATTCCTTTACACGCACACATCGTAACGTGTGCGTATGTTAAAATTTGAAAATTCTCAATATCACTATTCAGAGAGTTTAAAGGTTTCGGGTCATTTTCAGCATTCCAAAACTTTCCATATTACGCGCCATACGTTCATTTCCACGCACACAGAACATACTGAAGCTGGAAATCACGTTTTGTTACATATTTTGTGTTCCTGACACTGTATTCATATCAGGAGTCACTCTTTGTGCCACTACCGTACTCACAGGCGTCAAGCCGTACGTGTACGCATGCGTAAATCTTTTAAATTGCTGAAAATTGTTCTTTTTTTAAAAACTAGTTACAGAATATTTTAGCATATTATAAAACTTTTCAATCAGCACCACACGCTCTTTATGAGGGTCAAAGTACGGCGGGTCACCAAACTCGTCTTCAGTGACGAGTTCAAGTCTAGTTAAGTATTAGATTCACATATGAACCCAGTATTAAATATTTATTCTATTTTAAATGTCTAGATGGTATTTTATTTTGCAGGTGGAAAGACTAGGAGAGGTGGATCAATTATTTCAATTAGGATTCAGAATGATGAATCATTACATGATGTAGCTACCTGCCTATTATACTTAACTAGTATTACAAGGTAAATGACATTATTTTACAATTTTATTATAATGTTGTAATTTTCCTTTATTGATAGTACTGTATAGGCAATCTGGGTAATATAAAAGAACATTAACTTTATTTAAAAGTTTATTTACTTCCACTCTTAAATAATTCTAAGATTGTAATTTTAGTTAATTAAGGTGTAACTGTATATTAAATGTTATCAGTTTTATGTGGGATGTAGTATGGGAATTCTAAAATGATAGCACCCAGCAGTCACTGCAAATTATCGAATGTTTTCTAGTATTTGTTTTAATTGTGTGTGTTGTGTAACATTACCTGAAAATATAAAAAAATATCTGCGAAAAACATTGATTGGTTGCTACGTCTTTACTTATAATTTTAGAAAGACCACAAGTCATTACTGTTTCCTTATTTTTATACTGAAAACAATTATCTATTAAATATACTTCAAATGTGAGCCAATAATTTGAATGTTATTATATATGCATTATGAAATAGAAAATAAAATGAAAGAAGATAGTAGGCTAAATAGAGTTCTATACTAAAAGTAAAGAAATTAAAATTTAAACAGTGGTTTTTAAAAAAGTTATATATTTGGATGATTTAAAAGCTTTAATACCAATATTGAAATGATCCATCTGCCGAATAGGCCTTCAAAATATCAATGATTCATAAAATCAGACTTTTCTTTTTCTTGTGGTAAAAAAAAACACCAGCTTGTTATTCAGTGGCATTCACTGAAGTGGTGCATCAATTTACCTAATACTGTACAATGGTACATTAAAGCTGAGCTCAGCTCATTCTATCTACTTTCCACTCTACTGTACTAATGCAATTTGCATATGTATTCTGTCGTGTTGCTTTTGTGTTGCATCACAACTCCTTATTCAATGATATTGTTTAGATTCATTTTAGAGTACAAGTTTTCTTATAATTGTCTAAAGTATCACAAAATATATTTAGCTATATAATAAATGATTGTAAAATCTTTATTGTGGTAAAAAGGAGAGAATATATCTTTGTTACGATATATTACTTCCTGATTTGAGCAGGCACATGGGCATTAATAATTAACAAACATTTTTTCATTACTCAAATTATATAGTATATAGATTATGGAAAGGTAATGGAATTTTCTCAAGGTAAAATAATTCTTAACAAACATTCAAGTACTGCATATAATTAGACCAAAAAACATTGTGTTGCCCAAGCCTGACCAACCCAAATCTTAAAAAGTCTGTTCAACATTGAGTGATGATTATCGGTGAACCCAAGTTTGGCCTAGGCCTACAGGTGTTGACCAAATGTAACTTTGTTTGAGCAACACAACATATTTTTTGGCCTTTTTAAAAATTATTGTTTGGTTGTTTTTTTGTTTGTTATACTATACATAATAAAACATTTACCTCAAGAAAAAGGCATTGTATAGCAATCACACCAAACTAACTATAACTAAACATAAACAAGAAGTATTTGCTTTCTTTTGTTGAGAGTTTGCCTAAAATATAGCACTATCACAACAGAATGTCTAGAAGTGTTATTTATGAAATCTTTGAATAGGGTTTTAATGAATCTGCAACTTGCTTGTTACTTACCAATTGTTTATCTCTTCCTTGTGGTATGCAAACATTTAATAGTGTTTCACATGGAAGTACATTGTTTATATGTTAACATTTCTTTTTAAACAATATAGTCAGGTATTGGCATCTACTGTCAGTGGCGTATCCAGGGTGTGTGGGGGTGGGGGGTGCATTACAATCATGCACCCCCAGTTGCCCTTCTCCACCCACTGAAAATGTCCAAAGCAAAAATAATCATTCTTAAGTAGTTAAAAATCACCTCACCTAATCTTTTCTACCAGTGCCCCTCACTTAAACTGGACTTTCCCACCCCTGTCTCTTATACAGACAGCAGTTCAACCTTTTCAAGACTCCTAGATATGCTACTGTCACGCTACGCTACATTAATTAACAATTTAGATTTTTACATAAATAATTTTGTTTTATTTACTTTTGCTTTTAACAACACTATTATTTTCTAATCATTGCATACATAATGGACCATTCCAGAGTGTCAATCAGACCTTCCTGACCAAGTAGAACTGGGTCAAGAAGGTGTGCTTGTCCCGCAAACATGTGAGTTGTCCCACATGTTGGCCGTACACGACTGGTCGTTCTTTGTTAAACCGCGCCACCTGCGCAGTGGTAAGATCCTACTTAACGAAGACGACCAGTCGAATAGAAAACTTGTAAATACCATGGTAAATACTCGACAAAACAAAATGGCTGCATAGTTACCGCAATACACGCTGCGCAATCAAGGCTGCTTCAGATTGTGACAGTATGGGTTTTAAAAAAAAAAATGTTTTCAACCAGTTTTTTAATTCTGTAAAACCAACAATTACTTTTTGACTTCATGCGGGTAAATATTGTAATTTTTATTTTCTGAAATTTAATCTAAATTATATTAACGGAAATATTGTTGCTAAACTGACCCATCGACCATGTTTGTTTTGGTCACGTGGATAACTTATCGCTGATAATGCACTCTGGTTTAAGTTAATTTTCGTTGTCAATGAAAATGTTTTCAACCAGTTTTTTAATTCTGTAAAGCCAACAATTATTTTTTGACTTCATGCGGGTAAATATTGTAATTTTTATTTTCTGAAATTTAATCTAAATTATATTAACGGAAATATTGTTGCTAAACTGACCAATCAACCATGTTTGTTTTGGTCACGTGGATAACTTATCGCTGATAATACACTCTGGTTTAAGTTAATTTTCGTTGTCAAAGAAGTCTATTTTACAAAACAGTGGAATGAAAATAATACTCAACAAAAAATCGTAGTCAACGAAATGAACCAGTCGAATAAGCCCAATGTATTTATGATCAAATCAATTAGATTGTGTTATTTTCTTATTGTACAAAATTTTAGCAAGGAAAGTAAGCAGACTGAGTTTACAGTTCTTGTGGACTTGACAAGGTCACCATTCCAACATTTGCACTCAATTTTAGAAATTTTACAGGTAAGAGAGTAAAGAAATGTACAAATAATTTAGAAAATATTAATTTCATTGAATTCGATATCTTGATGATAAACTTTAATTTGTAATTAATTTTTATTTGTTGTTCAACAAATGCTAAATATTTTTTTTGTGTAATACTGAAGAGTATGCCATGCAATATCTTAATTTACCTGTATCAAATTTAGCATGTTGGTGCAGTCACTCATCGCAAATCCTGTAATAATGGGCACAACATGATGGAATGTCAAAATTGTTGAAATCTATTTTATTGCTCTAAACTAGCCTTTATATATCTATATATCATGCTATGCTGTTATTTTCCTCATTTTCAATGTTTAAAGAACAATTTTTAATGATTTGCTGATAGTTTCGGCCTGAGAAATGCCCAAAATCATAAACTTTGAAGGTTGATTTCTCGAATATTGTTCTTTGAATAGCTGTATGTCTAAACTCCTGTAACTTCATAACAAAATGTCGGATTGTATTGATTCTTTTACCATTTTACAGCTCTCATTTTACTGTTTAACCCTGCATTAATAACTAAAAAATAATTTTTGCGATGAGTGACTTGTTTTGGCTTGCCTTTGCCACATTTGTAAAAACTCCATTATGGCCATAAATTGAATATTATTATAAGTTACCTAATCTAATTAATTAATTTGAAACCAGACTAAATTTTAATGTACTGTAAATTCCTTTTGTTACATCAAACTTCCTACAAAAACTGTGAATAGTTACCTTCTAAGAATATTCACTGTCAAACATTACTTATTAATGTGAAAAAAAATTTAAAAACGGATAAATGTGACTTCTCATCATATATCTGAGTTTTTAAATTATAATTAGTTCTGTAAGCAATTATATATTTCTGGCTGATTCCAGAAACAAACAATCTTCTTTTCTTCTTCAGAAATCAATTGGTCAGCAAATCCACACAGTTTGTGTAGTACTACAACATTTTTTTTTGCAAAAGATTAAACAAGTGATAATTGGAAATTAAATTAGAATGTGGCTTCTCATCAGATAGCGGAGTTTTTAAATTATAATTAGTTCTGTAAGCAATTATTATATATTTCTGGCTGATTCCAGACAAACAATCTTCTTTTCTTCTTAGAAATCAATTGGTCAGCAAATCCACAGAGTTTGTGTAGTACTGCCTGATGCATTTAAGGAGGGGACTAGAGAAAGCCTGATATATTACAAGACGCAGTTCAATTTTGAGGTATGGCATCTTGGTTAATAGGGAAGTTTTGCAACCTACCTACCTAAATGATAACGAAAACAACTGTGTCACCTACAGTATACATCACGTTTTTGTTCTCAAAAATTTAGTATGCGTTTAGTAATTCTCTATTTTACAAAATTTGAACTTAAGACATTATGATTGTAAGGTAGTACTGTTATACACCAAGCTGCAGCTGCACTTCTTTCGTTTACAATCTCAATATAACTAGTGTTGAAACATCCAATTTTGGTGTTTGGGGTACTTTTTTAAGAATGGCTATTTCATATGGACAATGTACTGTATCAGTATATGGTGTACACTGAGACCAGATTCACACTATACAATCCACAAAAATCTACTGTAATGTAATGTAAAATATATTAATGTTGCAAGCATGTAAATGCACATAGAGTAAAACATGTAATTTCAGTGTAGTAGGCCTATATTGGTAAATTTGAGAAACCTTAGTGAGGTATGTAAAGTTGACTAGAATTTCACATGCATGTTCAAATACTTGATTAATTTTACACGCATTACTTGTTTTTAACTCATATATATGCTTAATTTCATTCTGTGTGTATTTAAACATTTTTACTAAATTTTTAAAATAATTGTATTGTTTTATATGTTTTTTTCAACATGTTATTATGTTTTCATTTGCATTAACTACTATTGCTATTATTGAGACATTAACCAGCTGAAATTTAGATATGTTGGAAGTCAACAAATGTATGAGAATGTTGTAGAAATAATTGAACAAGGGTAGCAAAAAAATTGTTAAAATTTAATAACATTTTCTTGTTTTTCATTTACAGACAGTATTAGTGCCAAATGTATCAAAGATTTCAAAATTTGTTGACAAGGACCAATTAACAAAGGAGTTTGGAGGAACATTGCTATATGATCACCAAGATTGGCTTCAATTAAGACTGGTAAACCAATCTTTTGTCATTTTTAAATTATTTACTCCCTGTGATTTGAAATACAAAAATGTTTACATAATTTATATGATTTACTACCAAACATTTGTAACATATTTATTGTGCAGTATTTTTTTTTCATATGTTTGCCTCTTTTACCTACTTCATGATTTTTCATTTGAATACCGCCTTTTTTGTGACAACCTTGAAATCCATAATGAATACCAAATTATAACAGCAACATTTTTATTCCACAATTATTATGTAAATTATTTTTAACTATTGCATCAAAAGAACACAGTAAAATTTGAAAAACCTTAACATTACACAGTTGTAATCAATTTTGTATTTACAGTTCTGTTTTTTTTCCTTTTCCTCTGTTATGATATGCATATGTTCACATACTGTTTGATTGTTTTTGTTGCACTTCTCTATTACAAAAGAGAGATAATAAAGTTATTTAATTATTTTAGAATCAAGAAACACTAGGTCCTTACCACTTTTCATATTAAAATACTTTTCAACTTTTATATCAATTTCCTCCTTTCTTTGCTATGTAAATCCTATGTAAATATACTTTTAAAATATATAATTGCACTTAAAAAGGTCTGTTACACTGATGGTTAACCTCGAGATATTGTTGAATAAAGATATAAATAATGAACAAGGTTAGAATAAGATTGATTTTTAGTTTTTAAAAATACATCTGTATTACATTCAAATAAAATTTTAATTTCAGGATTATGAAAGCTTTTTGAAAGATGTCTCCACACTGCTTCAAAGATTAGACAGGGTTACACATGAGGTACACAGACAGGAAAACAAATCAATGGAAAAGGCAATGAGAGATCGTCAGAGATGGGATGATGTTGTCTTTAACCAACCATCTGTTATATTTCAACACGGTAAGATCATTGGATTTAGATTGATTCTTTATTTTTCCTCATTAAAATTGGAAATCGGGAGTTTGGGCTGGGCTTCTTGGGACCCGCAGCAGTTACAATACAGCATCACCCAACTTAACTGCAACATATAATTATGGATACAAACATTGTCTTTAACCTGCCTAACACTCAAAATTAGGGTTATTTGAGGAGCCAAGCGATCAGATTCCAATTAAAACCCACTGCTAGCCATGTTTGAACTGGGGTCTGCACTCTCCGCCTGTTTCTGTACTGTGAACTCTTTTGTCTATTTTGTGAATACTTACCTGGATAAACCAACTAATTGCCATTGTACCCAAACGGAAGACCCCTTCAAAATAAATGGAACAGTCTCACCCAGGGCGCCACTCCAAGGCTGAAGATCCTTACCGCAGTAGCGAACACGAACACGCTAACACGTAGAACAACTCTAAGCACTCTGAAGGAGGTTCACTTTCCAACGAAGGTCGAAAGGGGAATGAGGACGTTTGTTAGGGAGATGGTTCGTACATGGCGCCCTGGGTATGACTGTTCCATTTATTTCGAAGGGGTGTTCCGTTTGGGAACAATGGCAATTAGTCGGTTTATCCAGGTAAGTATCTCACTCATGGACTACCAACATCACGATTGATTTGTGTAAATAAGGCCATAAAATGACAACTTTGTAATGTATTGTAGGTACGTACATTATACAGAAGTTAAGAAAAAACAGAAGCTCAAGATCGAAGCCAGCATTGCAACTAAGTGAATATGAGATGCTGATGTTAAATCAGGTGCAGAGGTTGCTGAATGAGATAGAAGATAAACAGGGTGACTTAAAAGGCTTCCTCACCGAAGGTAAAAGAGAACATCATGCACCGATGGAAGTACAGGAATTGGAAAGTGGTATCAAAAAAGTAAGATGAATCTACATTTTACACATGGCATGCTTATATATCTCAAGAACTATAATCATGAGGAAACTTCACCATTTACCAAATTTTACAATTTTGAACCAGGTTTTGCAGATCTCTTCTTATCTCTATTAATTACTGCTTCAGGGAATTTTGTAACAAGATTAACAGTGAGGCTCATTAGTTGTGAATAGTTCATAAGAAGACTAGCACAATTAAATCAAAAACCATGTTGTAACTTCTAACATAAGTCACTGATTTTTTAAATTCAAAAGCATATCTATTATGATTTTTATCTGAAATTATAGCTAAGGTAATAAAAATGCCAAATTATTTTGAACAACAGGTTTTTAAAATTTTCCTGGTTTTTAAATACTATACTGGTAATTTATTGAGAAACAGCAATGCCTGCGTGATAATCACTCTTAAGTAGAGGTATTCTTCTTTGATGTTTAATTGGATTATTGAGATAAGATTCTGGCAAAACCTGGTTCACCAACCTGCCTGAATGCCCTTTTAAAGAGTTTGCTGGTAAATGGGATAGTAACAGCATGAGTGCTAACACATTATAGTTAAGTAGAATGCTTGTAGAATTCCCATTCATAACCTTAAACCTCCAATAAGAAATACCTTATTTTTAGTATGTATTTGAATGTATGACTTGGACTTTTAATACACAAGAATTTTCTTGCTTTGTTTCATGAAACAAGTATGAAAGGAAATGTTTGAATATGCACAATATCTCCATGGCTTCAAGCAATCCTGGCATGGTGGTCCTGTTACCCATAGTTTCTGGTGAATTTGGAGATGAGCCATAACCTCTGACCTACACATGCATTGTGAAACTACAAGATACCTTTATTGTATCTTATTGTAATACATACACATACTGTGCATGCTTGGATGCATACAGACAGACATGTGCCTGTTCATCTGTAATTATCGATCTTATCAAGTGGCTGTAGCACAATTTATTTTGTCACCTGATTCCACCAAAAACCCAATAGGCCACCTTGTAGGAAACTTACAATGCTGTATTGCAGTGAATGTAGGTAAGAATTCGGTATACGGACATAAACCACCCAGGACATAAACCACCCAGGACATAAACCACCCAGGACATAAACCACCCAATTGGAATATACCATTGTTAAAGTGGGTGGGCAACAGGGTGAACAATGTTGGGTGGT